AACTGAGGTTATAACAGTTTATTCCTTACACAAAAAGTGCCTCCTCCTAGAATGATGGACAATATGTCTTGATTTCTGTTAAGGTTCCTCCTGCTTGGGGGTAAAGTGACAGGGAGGGCAAGAAGGACCTTTGAGCTCCCCTTGGAGGTTTAAGTGTGCAGCCAAGAGACTCCTTTCATGAAACAGACTTTTATTTTCTGAGCAACAACTTTTTACCAACATTGTTCAATATGGTAGCCACTAACAACATGTAGCTATTTATAATTTAAAATTTAATTAATTAGAATGAAATATAATTAAAAACATAGCTCTTCAAGTACACTAGCCACATTCTCAGGGCTCAACAGCCTCATGTGGCTGGCAGCCACCACACTGAACTGCAGTAGACACAGAACATTTCCATCATCCCTGAAAGTCTTATTGAACAGCACTGTTTTGTACTATGGGTTTTCTATTTTTTTTTCCTTTTACATATCCTCTTAATGAAGGATCCAGAATCATTCCACCCCACTCTTCAGTAGCTTTCCCAAAATGCCAGGAAATACACTCAGAAGCCTATTCATGCACAGTATTAACACGTGCTTATTAGATCCCTCCAAAACTGAAAGCCTAAATAAACATGTACAGCTGGTCGTCCAGGATGCTCTATTCATTTAGGATACACATCAAGCCTCTGTCAGTCACAAGACAAACAAACTGAAACACACAAGCTTTTGGGTGGCAATGGCTTGGGAACAACAGAAACTGAATATGCAAAAAAATGGAAGGAAACAAATATGACTAAATCTTTCTTATGAACTCTGAGTAGCATACTGTATTTCTTGAAAATCTTTCAATGATAATGCAGAAAGTCTTGTCTACTAACACCAAAGTCCTCAGAGATAGGTAGATTCTTACAATGCTCATACAGGAACAAAGGTATCTTCTGACTCCAAGTAATCTTTGCCCTATTGGTTCTCACAGACAAACAATGACAAGTCTTGATAGCGAAAATGAAAGACCAAATATACTATACTGTGATTTGTCTGCTAACATATGATATTTGTTCCAAAGATTATGGTGAATGTTGATGAGTGGATCTAAGCAATGTCCCTAAAAAAATCAATCATCTTGTTTGTTGGCAGAGACTCCCTACAACTTTAAATTTATCTGATGAGCAACCAGCGCAGATCCAGCAAAGACAAGATTTTCAGGTCATACCGCTGTCACCCTGCATTTCATCTTGAGACAGAGCTAGAAGTACGCACACATCTGTTTCAAAGACATAAAGCCAACTCTCAAGAGGCAAATTTTTGGAGAACACCCAAAAATACGGGACTTGAGAATGAGTTTTGCAGCGCATCAGATTAACTGAGTGAAGTGTGAATACAGCATCTGGCTTAGAAGTGAATGCTTTCATGAATTCCAAGTCTAGATCGACCTTTCAGCTACTGCAGTATTGACTGTGATGAGATCGCTCCCCCCTTTGAAGTCACCACACTTACTGTCTGCTTCTGACATCTGACACTTACTCACGTACCACACCACATACCACCCCCGTGTTGTCTTGTACAGCTTTTTAACTCCTGGATGTGTGTACACAGACTTCACCTGCACTGTAAGCTCTCAGTCTGTGTATTACAGTTCTTTTATTCATCCTAACACCAGGCAGACAGTAAACACTCAAGTATTTGGCGAATGGAGACATGAAGACAAGGCCTACAGGAAAGGAGAAAAATCATGCAGCGACTGGACAGAAAACTATCTACTGGTTTATCAACTCCCAAATTGGGATGGAATCGATACCAGACTAATTTTCTTCTGGCAAACAAACAAAAAGTAATAAAACTTCACAACCAAACAATAATGTACGTAGCTAGGCAGTCTCAAACACATCCATCTTATCCAAATGATGAAACAAATACCAACAACAGGACATGTCAGACTTCAAAATGAAACTTTGTAGCAAAAAAAAAAGTTTATATCTGACTTTTAGTTAAAATCCTGTGTGCTAGAAATATACGCATTCACTTGGATGGTACTGAAAAATAGTGCCTTGGTAGCAAAATCCAAGAGTTATTAATTCAATTTCAATGCTTCCAATTTTAATACTTTCATTGTATAGGTAAGAGGACTGAGGCACAATCCAGAGAGGGGAAGTGCCGTGCTTTAGGGTTACTCAGGAGGGTGGTCAGGAAGAGCTGGGACAGGACTCAGCTTTCTGTTGCCCTTATCTGATGAAGTGAAGCGGCTCTATCAATATGTTGAAACTATGACTAAGCGGAAGTTTCAGGGAAAAACTGAAGTTACTATATATCTTCCTTCCTTTCAAACTTCGCAGAAATTATTTGCTGATTCTTCATAATTGAATTTTGATAGCTATTTCAAATACATCAGACCAGAAATGTAACTGACCCACACAGCGCTCCTCCCCTGAGCCTCTGACATGCGATCACACTTAACTAAGCTGAAATCAGTCTGTACAAGAGGTTCCTCCAGATCCATATAGCTCACTGTACTACTTTGTTTCTACTCTACAAATTCCAAAGCGAAAAGGATTGCTGATTTTCTTTTGGCAGTTCTCATTAACACAATAAAGTGAAAGAAATGCCTGAATTACTTGTTCTAAATTGCCTTTCTGAAACTGAAATCTAAAGATTGATTTGTTCTCAAGGGTTTGGGATTCTCTGAGAATTTTCTAAGGTGGTGCTTTTATTTTCATAAACATAGTTTGGACATCAACTTTATAACTGGGTAAGGCTATGACATCAGTGACCACATATGTTTTCTAAGCTTAAGATTACATTCTTACTGTCTCCTAGAGGGACAAAACTTAGTTTTTAATGCAGTTTTTTCAAACTGGATTTCAAAGTCTATGCCTTTGGGTTAAAGTTTGAGTAACACTGCTCTAGATTTTTATACTTTCCAAAATTCTCCTCCTAGATTTTATTTGGTGAATTAATAAAAAGGTACCCACTGCCTACTATGTGCTAGGCACCGGAGGTACGGTTGTTAGTAAGAGAGACCAGACCAGCTTGTCCTTATGAAGCTTATAATTCTGGCAGGAAAGACCAACATTGTTAATAAAGAAGTCTGGTTCCTTAGTTGAACTCACTTAAGGAGTACTTCAAAAAAACAGCAACCACAACAAGTCCTCTGCCCTCCTTGTCAACTGCTTCTGTGGATCAGAGAGCCCATCACCATCATCTGCATATTCTCAGAATATTCTAAGAGCTTGAGGTCAGTTTGGTCTTATCTGTTTGGAGATAGGTAAAATGACCCTCTTTTTAAAATTCTTCAGAGAAGCTCAATCTCCTTTCCTTGCTCTAGGTTATGCTTCTCGTAACTGGACAAAGATGCAACTCAACTAGAGATTTCCTGGTTATTTGAGAAAACAATTTTATAATCAGTGAGGTTTTGGTAACACTTTTTCCTTTCGTTTGGGAAATTTCTGTGAACAAAAATCAGTCAAGCTAAAACTGTGACAAATGTCTAAAGTGCACTTCTAAACACAAGAAAAGTTCATGGATAGATGCTAAACAGGGCAATACAAAACTCTCCCCCAAAATTAACCTTAACAACCTTGACTACAACAACGAATGAGATTCAGAGAACAGTAGCTACTATTAGTTACTACTTTAATCCTATGAACCACTATTTAAATAACATCCTTGTTATTTAAGGATGGGGGGTGGGGGAAGACCCAAAGGCACATGTTATCAAGTAAACCAATTCAATTTTGTAATTGAGAAACGGGTGCCAGATTCCCTCAGCAACAGTTAATAGGTATGAAATCCCTTAGTTTCTGGACCAAATTTTCTAAGCAACGATGTCCTCAGATGAACACTACTTGAGGCAAGATCTCCCAAATTTTGGAGCAATCTCTCTCTCTAGTGTGATTATGATAGTTCTTACTGGGTTTTCACCCACCAAAGAGTTCCCCTCAAAATGTCAGCCCTGTCAGAAAGGAAGTATGGATACTGTAACTCTGAACAAGTAGTTCCGTGAAAACAGGGAGAAAGAACCCTACCAGAATCCTTTCGCAGACACTGAAGAGGGAACCAGCTTACCTAAAAAAACAACTCCGTATCTTCCAACAATACAAACCTGAACTCCTAGATCAAGAGTCAGTATGAAGAGCATGGTGGTACAATTTCTAGCCCAAATTAAGCCTCTGTATTTAGACATTCAGATACACAATTTAGGCCAGATGCACAGTGAGAGCTTTACTTGTCACCACATGCGGCACAATAACTAAAGAAGGGGAAAACTGGCTTTCCTGAAGAAGCTTGGTCAGAAATGCAGCAGGGCTTCAAGCCACCCTAACTCTCGAGGCATCGACACTCCAAATTCCAGACCAACTATCAGGCAGGCTAACTTTAATTGTGCCGCTAACTCCACGAAAGCAACACACCATCCAGCTACAATCAAGCCTTTCCAATTCTCCAAAGCATCTGAAGACTTACTCGTCCTTCAAGTTGGAAGCAAGCTCAAGTCGGAAGCAAGACGACTGACACAAAGGCCAGTCATCCGAAGGCGCTTTCTGTATGGCTCTGCCACTGCCACTCACTTGAAAATTCCTAAACTGGGGGCTCAGCAGCTCCCCCATTCTCCCCTGGCTCCACCCCGCCCCGGCCGGTAAGCCTCTGCCTGGAAGCCCCTGGCCTGGAACAAAGCGAGGGGCCCCGGCGGTGGGGGCGAGAGGCGCTGGCGACACGGGGACTGCCGCCCGGCGCACAATGAGAAACTACCAACTTCAGAGCGCAGGAACATCCTCAATTGGCAAGAAAGAGGGGCGGCGGCAGGCACGCCCAACTTCAAACTCAGGAAACCTACGGGCTGGCGGCCATCTGGAAAAAAGCCCCCTTCCCAGGGAGAGAAGAAAAAGGCGGAGGAGATGCGAGTCGCCCACCGGGCCCCGGAGGGGAGCCCTGCGCTCAGACCGGCCCCCGCCCCCGAGGCCCGCTTCCCCGCCTTCTCTCTGCCTCTGGTTCGCTGCCCCAGGCCGGGCGGCCGGTTACCTTGATGCGCTCCCGGCACTGGGACGGGGTCCGCTCGTAGCCCAGCTCGGCCAGGGCCCGGGACACGCGCTCGTACATGGCTGGCCCGGGGGCCTTGCTGCCGAACACCGTGCCGGCTCCCTCCAGCTGCTGGTACCGCGCCTCCACCAGCCGCTCGTTGCCCCACACTGCGATGAG